GAGACTTATGGCAAAGGTTGTCAATTGCATTCATCTTAAGGTTTCGCAGGTAGGATATTTTACAGACTCCACAATTGTGCTCAGCTGGTTATCATTGCATGTAAGCCGATGGACGACTTTCGTAGGAGGGCCCTGATTTTTGGTGGTGTAGAGCTAGAAAGCGGCAAATTACAGGGAATCATCAGTCGGACCTAACTGGCTGGAGGCCTTTGCTATATAGTTTATAATTTGCAAAATTTAAAGCTGCGTTAGAAATTCCTTATGTTAAAAATAAAAGACCCATTAAGAGTACAAAAATTCAATGCTTCAATCCCTTCATTCAAGAAGAAGAAGGAATTTCGATTATACGCTTAGGTGGGCGATTGCTAAAGGCCGATCTACCAACTGACACAACGCATCCTATTTTAATGCCTAAAGATCATTTAGTCATAAATGCACTAATTAGTTTCGTTCATTGAATCAATTTGCATGCCGGGGCTCAATCGTTATGTTCCTTTTTGCGGCAGAAAATTAGCACGTAATGTTGTACAGAGTTGCATTACCTGCTTTCGGCTTCGACCTGACTTGGGCAATCAGGGTCATGGGACCACTGCCTGAAGGCCGAGTGCGAGGCAGTATCTACACCTTACAACGAGCGGGACAAGACGCAGGACCACTTTGGATGCATTTTAACATACAAGGGGAGCGCCCAGTCAAGGTGTATCTAGCTGTGTATGCTTCCTGACGAAGGCATGCCATATAGAGATCGTGTCGGACTTGAATGCCAGCGCCTTAATAGCGGCACTTAAACGGTTCTTATCCAGACGTGGAATAAGCCCGGACCTGTTCTGTGACAACGCCACTAACTTTGTAGGCACTTCACGAGAGCTCCGTAAAGCATTCGACCAGTCGGCCCAAGGTGTTATCAACGACACGTGCAGTGAACGAGGAGTCAAATATCATTTAATCCCACCACGTTCACCTCACTTTGAAGGGTTATGAGAGAGCGCAGTGAAGGTTGCAAAACAGCTGCTAGTCAAGTGCGCAAACTGCACGGCTCTCAACTACAAGGATCCGTGATGAATTCGAGGCCGCTGTATCCTTTGTCATCGGACGGAATAAATTAGAAGCACTAACTAACACTAACACTAGCCACTTTTTGGTTGGCCGCCCACTTAATGCGCTAGTTGAACCATTTGACGAAGCATTGGTCAAACTATCACTGACCATTGGAAGAGGATTCTCGTAGTACACAATATGTTTTCGCGCCGCTGGAAAACTGAGTACCTCACCTTGATGCAGAAACGCTCAAAATGGAGGACAACTCCGAGCAACGTGCAGATCGGAAGTCTAGTCTGATCGCCAAAGACAACGCACCGCCTGGTCAATGGTTACTAGGAAGAGTGTCAGAATTACATCCCGGATGCCATAGCGCAGTGCGTGTCATGACTCTCAAGACCAAGACGGGGTTTCTCAATCAGAATGTACATAGAATTTGCCCCTTGCCACTGGAGTCAGCAACAGATGGTGTTTTGGAAGGAGCTTCCAAGGCGGGGAGTATGTTCGCGCCACTAGTTAATATTTAGTATTTAGTAACGATGTATGCGATATTTAGTATTTTTGCTTAACTTTCCTTGATATGTTAATTGGATTGAATAACTATCGGTATTGTCGATCCATGTATTGTACATTGAACTGTAATCAGTTTGTCTGTCAAGTAAAACAGTTGAAACGGATACGGGCATTTTTGCTGGAAAGGGAATTTTTCTAATAATTATTAATTTCAACGCTAGTGGAGGACTATAGCTCGAACAGCAACATTAAACATTATAGTGCACATAGATCCGGAACATGCACATGCAGGAAAATGTAATACAGGTTATGGACGGTTCCGAAAATTACCAAAAGCTGTTAATCAACACAGATAATTGACAAAATCTCAAAGTTCGCGGCAACGCAACCCATAGCATCACATACTATCGAGGACGTGAAGACATATATATTTTTACTTTAAAATGAATATCGCCAATGGTTAAGGGAAGCATTTTAATAGCAAAGTGTGGGCGGGACTGACGGAACAGGGGTTTTCCCGAAGAAGAGAGGATGGTTTACAAGGACAACCACAGGAAAGACCCTTGGCTTCCTGGTAAGAACCCAAAATTCAACACTTCTTTTAAGGTCAAGCCTTTCTATATTATCCATTCATTAGAAGCTTAACTTACACGGAATACATTCCAAATAAGAAACTGCTTATTATCCCCATCCGAGAAAAAGGGAAGGAACTGCAGTAGTAATCATTCTGAAAATTTTAGAAGTAGAGAAGAAATTTAAGAGTTTCTACAAGAGATGCGTAAATACCGCACGCTCCTCGTGATCGACTCTTGGCAGTTTATTTACAAAACATTTAAGGAGATGTAGATTGTTCTGGCGATCTTTTGTCTCTAACTGTCTCGAAGTTGGGTTTTTGTGTGTGGCCGATCCCAATGCAGTATGTGATATTATATGTATGATTACAGTTGGCAAGCATTCAATTAAAAACTCCAAGTTAAACGGTATATTAGTTGTTTGTAATATAATATTAAATGCATTGTGTAGCACGCCCTGAAGAAGAGTGTCGAAGGCGGTCGAAATACATTGTATAAAAAGTTTGAATTTTCCAAAAGAATGCTTTGATATTATTACATTATTTGCTTTAATAAATACCAACTTGAAAGTCTAATTTACAAATGTTTTGAAAGCTAGCTGAGAAAACCAGTATATACAAAGTTTATACCACAACTGACCATACCAACATCTCAGAAGCCTGCATACCAACAAGTAAATAAAAACATTGTGGCAATAATATTATCAATGCGCTCATGCAAAACACGAGAATATTTAACACTAGCTCCTTTAGACACTCGCGACAAATCATTTGCAAGTAAACTTCAATATGCGTTGCGTCAAAAATCCCTTTACAATAGCATACCAGACAGTTTTTGAACTTTTATAATTCACAGGGCGACAATTTCCCAGTGGCAGGGGAAAGCATAGACAGTGACTAGCAATTCCAAAGAAAAACTCCGAGCTCATAGATTTACCCAATAAGGCTTATATTATTGTTGCGCTATCAAGCTTTTTCAATAGCTTTCACAAAAGAATGAATTAACTTTATTTTACTTCTTGTGTTCAAATTTGTTTATATATTTGTTATAAGTTACAACAAGCAGGCAGACCCGAATTGGTCTGTGCTTATTATTTAAGAACAATAGTTTTACAATGGCAAGCGAACCCGAATTGGTTCATGCCGATTTTAGCGAAGCGATAATTGCGACAAAATTAATAAGTTTTAATAATGCAAGTGGCCGATGCGTACCAAATGCACGAAGCAAACGAACTTAACTAACTCGACGCGCAGCATCGAGGCCTTCGCATAGGTTAATGCTAGGGCAACAAAATATCATTACAGCGAAGGGCGCAAGCTTAATGTAAATGTAATCCCAAGAGCTTAATTTAAGCAGTTACTTCGCAGAGCAAGTATTATAAGGTGGGATATAAGATGCTGCTCTTATCAGATGCGAGGTCGCTACAGCTGTTTTGGCTGCGTAGCCAGACAATAATCTTTACGCAAAATGGCCACGAAATGGGTTTTTGGTTTTTTTCTCGCGAAAAATGATATTGTGTTGCCATCACGTTTTGTCATCCATAACATAGTGAATTACAGACTGTTACCAATGCGAATGTGGGAAAGTTAAACAGTAGAAGACAAATTTGAAAACGAGCGCAGCAAAGAAAATATTGACTGAAAACAATATTTTGCGATTACCAAAAAATAGAATGTAAAGAAACATTGACCTTAAAAATTCAATATTATAAACACTCAATATATAATTAATACTGCTGTATATTTTGGATAATGTTCTAAAGCTATAAGAATTATTACTATCCAAAACAATGGCAAAGCAATACAGATTGACCCATTGTCTATGCCTACTCTTTTTCTGCTGCTTTTTCTCTTCGAGCCATTTCACAAAGCTAGCGGACAACTTCACTACATTTATTTGGAACAATTAAAATTCGCTTCTGCAATGCCATTAGTAAAATATAATTCAATGCATAAATTATGCATATATACCGTGTATATCTAATTAGTTATATACAGCCAGATACATGACAACTTGTGTATTTTTTATGTACTTACCGTATGTGTTATTATTATTATTTTGTTTTTTAACAGCGCAAGATATCAAAAGGTTTTTTTGAAACATTTATTGGAAGAAAAAAAAAATTAGTCTTTTAATAACATGAAGTTTTTGAGCTTACAATTTCGCGTCAATTGGATGTATGGGTTGACATCGAGAACGCGCTCTCTAAAGGGCTATCAAAGCTGAGTATTCCACCCATACCATTTATTTAAAAAAAAACTGTCGCCAACAAGTTATAAATTATCGGTTTTGATAAAAGTATAAGTCCACCAGTAAAATTCTTTGAGAAATAGAGAATGGTCTCATGGTGCTGAAGATAAAGCAACTATTTTTCCTTACTATTGATGTATTGACTGGATTTCCAGAAAATCGTATCAATACAGTGCTCAACTGATCGAGCATGTTGGGTAACACAGCAGAGTGGAGTAACTGACCGAAGTCTTGGAAAGCGTATTCCACATTTAGTAGGTTAGTAAAAACTTATGGAGATCATTCTAGGCAGAATAGTTCATGCATCAGCATCAGATAAGATCAGACATAAGAGTTAAAAAGAATATATACTTTGAAATATGTATGAGGTTGGAATATAAATGGTATGTTCATTCTGTGGGATGGACCTCAAGTCTAACGTTAATGTACATTTTGATAGTCAATTACAATTATTAAAATGATACTCATCCAGCAAAATTTATTACAATATATTTTCAAATCCATATATATATGGGCACATTTGGCATATGGTTATTATTTCAATAATTTTACTCGAAATCTAAGGTATACACCTTTTTTATTATGTTAAAAATCGATAGAATAAGTAAAAGTTATATTTCTTTTTAGAGCAACTTGATCGAATTGAGGAAGGAATGGATCAAATTAATGCTGACATGAGAGAAGCCGAAAAAAACCTAAGTGGAATGGAAAAATGTTGCGGCATTTGCGTACTACCCTGCAATAAGTAAATATTTAACAAATATATTTTTATAAACGAGCTAAAATAACTTAAAAATATTTTTTCATACATAACATAAACTTTTGGCCAATCGATTTTATGAGAGCTATGTATATAATATCGAATCCGATGTGGATTGTGTTGTGAGAGCAAAATGATAATAGTTATTCGTTGAGATATCTTTCAAAAAAATTGAAACAAAAAACACTTTTGTAAAATCCACAATCTTTTCGGTAATGCTTCGGCGTAGCCTCCACACATAAGGAATGTCCAAATAAGTCGGGGATGGCATTCCTCGTAGTTTTTTCTCAAGATTCCATTTACGGCGGTAGTTAACTTTATAGCGTTTTTTTAAAATATAAGCAATTAAAAGTTGCCGATAGCGCGTTGGTAGCACGATTGTCAAGTGTCGTGCAGAAACGATACTACTTCACGATGAATTTCCGATAATTTTTGAACTATCGTCAACACTTTGAGATGAGCGAATGACAGCTGCTAACTATCGATGATGAATCATTAAAAATATCGAATTTTCGATTTGGCGGTGGCTATTGTGTATTTAAATTGTATGAAACTAAAATACAAAATATACTGTTTACATTCGCAATATTTTGTTTTCAATAATTTAATATAATTGTAATTGTAAATTGTAAATAAGGTTATATAATAAATTTCAAAAATTATAAAAATATATAAAAATTGATATATTTATTATATTTATGTTTTACATTATTAAAAGAATTTGAAAATTAATTTTAAAAATATGTATAAATGACTAGCGTTTACTATTCGGCGTTAACCAGGCCAAGTTATGAATATTTAAATTTTAAATGAATAATTTTCCCCATTCTTGCGCTTGGCATATTAGTATCTATCTGCACTCCAGGAACCTGACGTTTTATAATATATTTTAAATATATATTTAAAAATTCGGTTTAATTGTATGGTTAGTGACAATAGCCACCGCCAAATCGAAAATTCGATATTTTTAATGATTCATCATCGATAGCTAGCAGCTGTCATTCGCGTTCAAAAATTATCGGAAATTCATCGTGAGGTTGTATCGTTGCTGCACGACACTTGACAATCGTGCTACCACCGCGCTATCGGCAACTTTTAATTGCTTATATTTAAAAAAAAAACGCTATAAAGTTAACTTCCGCCGTAAAAGGAATCTTGAGAAAAAACTACGAGGAATAGAATAGATACCATCCCCGACTTATTTGGACCTTCCATATGTGTGAAAGCTACGCCGAAGCATTACCTTATGCATGCATAAGTACATCGAAAGATGTATATACAGTGACATATTCACAACAACAGAATTTTGAACCACTGTTATTCATAAGCTGCATTGCATGGTATATTCCACTGTGTGTTTACAAATTGAATAATCATAACATTAGCATGCCTTCTGCAGCCGAATTCAAATAATGCTAACAGCAGCAAAAATCACAAGAGCAGAATGCCTTCTGCAGCCAAGCTCACACATTGTCAACAATCATATGACCAATAGAAGGGCGCTAGCATAAACAAGCTGCAGCTGCTTTCCCTTTGCAAAAAGTCACGTACTCTAATTATTATTTAGCTTTAAAAATAGCGTGAGCCAATTTTTGTTCTTCAGAATTAATCCAGATATTCAACATAATAAACTGATACAAATTCACTCTCGTGAAACAAAGTCTTTTTATTTTCAAACTTATAACTACGTTATTGGCGCATTCGGTACGAGAGCGTAACATTTTGTGAAACGAAATAAATTAAACTTCGTGAGTGATACGATCAATTAAAGAGAGGCTTATCCATACGACTGGTGTCTTCTCTGATCAACAAGTGTAATTATGCACAGTATTACAACTAAATCGAACATTTTTCAATTCCAAAATTCGCTATCCGCAAAAGAACTTGACATGTCTGAGCAATTCAAGCCACGTATAAATCCAATTCGGTTGTTGTAACCGTGACACATAAACTAAATACATAGAACTATTAATAAATGGAGCAACCAGAAGACTCTCATGTGGCTGCACTTGCAGCAATGAATAAATTAAACGACCAAAATTTAAACCAATTGCTTCAACGAATACGGAACGTGCCAGCCTTTGAGGGAGACCCGATAACCCTGGGTCCATTTATCAGAAGGACGGACCTGCTTCAACTGTAATCTACTTACAATGCGATTGAGCGATTGAGCTCCAGATATCCGGAGATGCCCAGAAGGTACCCAGAATGCTGCAAATCAACAACTGGTCCCATCTGAGGGACATCTCCGAAAACAAGACGCGAACACCCGTAGAAGAACTGCTGCGAAGATTATATAACAATAATTATTAAGGTAATTTACGCAAATTTTGTAGTGAGGTAGAGGCTAAGATAATCATTATAACTGACAAATTAGAATTAGAAGGGAATTCAAATAATTCCAGATTGTATAAAAACGCTATGAATAAACCTGTAAAAAACTTAATATATAAAAAACTACCAGATAGACTCTTTATGTCACTCACAAGGTACGACATATCCACTATTTCAATATTAAACCAAGTAGCACAAAAGGAGGAAAATTATTATAACAACAATAATAAAAAACAAAATATTAATAATGCTATGAATTTTACCATAAATACTAATCCTCAATATACCCCAAATTACATAACTATCAATAATCAAAGCCACCATTTTTCAAAACACCCTTGGAACAACCAAACCTATCTAAACCAAAATAAGCAACTAGCTCAAGAATTCAAACAGATTTTACAACAAGCACAAATAAATAACCCCATAAATCAACATATTTCTCCAGGTAGATATATACCAAATCAATCGTACAAGCGTATGCGAGAAAAAACTTGTGTTTCCCAAAAAATGCAGGTTGATAAAAATTAACAACAATCAGAAAATTATCAGAGTAACTATGTACGAGAGGAGTATGGTTGTCAGAACAACCAATATGAGGAGATACAGGATATCGAAATAAAAGACGAAAATTTTAAAATTGGAGCCTCGGGACATGCCAGTAAAAGACGCTACAGATGTCTCATTGACACTGGTTCGTCAATAAATAAGATGACGGAAAATTTAAAATTTTAAAATTTTTTAAATAAATTTAAAAAAAAAAAGTTCCTTTAGCATGAATCTGCGTGCGTACATGTATACAGAAATTCTTGGAATTTGCGCTTGTTGCCGCTGATAGAAAAAAAGTCGAAATACGTTTTCTGTAATCATTGCTGTGTTTCTTAACCGATCTTGATAATATTTTCTACAGTACATCTTATAGTATAATACTATAGAATATTCGAGTATTATTAAAGAGTCAATTGTATTTAAATTGTGGCTTTTATTTGTGGGTAGCACAAATTGGTTTATTTACTTGATTTATAGCTACGCGGTAGAAGCGGGGAGTTGGGGATATCTATAAAATGAAAGATACTTGATATATATACTATTCTAGAAGTTACATGTCAAGTTTGGTACCTCTAGCTCTTATTGTCGATTTTTATCGATGACTTGGAAGCGGAACAAGTTATCGAATATCGGAAACAAACTCGATCTGCGCGGGGACTAGAAGGACCAGCAGCTAAAATTTCAAGTGTCTAGCTCTTATAGGTTTTGAGATCCTTGCGTTCATACATACGGACGGACGGACGGACAGACAGACGGACATGGCTAGATTGACTCGGCTATTGATGGTGATCAAGAATATATACACTTTATAGGGTCGGAGATGCTTCCTTCTGCCTGTTACATACATTTGCACAAATATATTATACCCCTATTACCCATTTTCAATGGGTTCAGGGTAT